TGTTAAGTAAGTTAATTTTATTTATTGTCACTTGTCTTTTCATTATTATATTATTTAATAATTCTAAAATATTTAATTCTTTTCAATAAATAATTAAAATTAAGCATTAGTTAATTATTAAGTATTATTTAACGATTTCTTTTATTAATCTTCTACATTTTTAATTATTTTTAATCACAAATTCACAAAATTTATTTCGAACAGTGCCAAAGCCAGGATGTTGTCAAGATGAAAAAATTGTTTAAACATATTAAACGATGAGTACTCCGGTCGAAATCTACATAAGTCTTCGGAACTATTGTAGAACTGTCGGAAAAAGCCGAAAAGTCGGCCAGAACTGGTTATTTAGTACAGGAGTCGAAGCTGCGAATAGTGCAGAACCTGGCAATTCTTTGACAATGCATCGATTAACTTGAAATTGTAACAGTAGGTAGGGAATAGCCTAAGGATCAAAATCTATATTATGCCGATGGGCGCTTTTCATTTTTTAGGGGTGAAAACTACCCCTTATTGCCAAAATCTATAAATCTATATATTAAAGCTTAAGGTGAGTAAAATTTGGTTCAGATGAGTTGAATAATAATTGTTTGACGCTGTGGAACATTATTTCAGAATATTTCAACCCTTAAAAATCAAACCCTTAGTAAGGTTGTAACAAAAAAAAAAATTATTTACCCTCAAAAAATCAATAATTTATCACAGCGTTTTAAGTTTAAAATGTTACTGCTTAAAATATTACTAATTTCATTTTGTAACTTTTTAACCCTTAAAAACCACCCCTTATGACATTGCTTAAAAACTACTTTCATAGATAGAAATAGAAAAAAAAATAAAAGGAACATATAGGCAGGTGTGTACATACACACATACACAGATATATTGTATGGGTATATGTGTCGAGTGTGAATGGATGTAAGTGAGTATGTAACTGTCTAATGCGTAGTATACAAAATGTAAGCAAGGTAGTGCTCGCATATACATACACGTTTTCAACGTCCGTATCTCACTTAATTTTTGTCGTACAGAAAATGTACAACAAGGGTAAATGTTTGGAATTAAAAAAGCTACAATTTGATACTGAAGCATTTTTTACGTATCTCCAGTAGTTTTGGACTTATTTTGAAGAGAAGGGCATTCTTCACGAAATTGCAGAAATTCGTTTTTCACTTTTACCTCCAATTTTTTCAAAATTAAGCATTCTAGACCGGTCAAACTCATAGAATGTATTAATAATACATAAATAAAGACAACTGTAAAAGGGTAACGATTAATTTTAGTTTGGGTGGTAATTAGGAGTTGTTTTCGCTGATTTTTTTCGATGAAAAAAGTAGAGACCTACATTATTTTCATCATAACTCGCTCAATTTTTATGCTACAGACTTTTCTAAAAACGGAAAAGAAAGGTCTTTTTATGTACTTTAAAAAAGATTCTATAAGTTTTTCTATAAAAATGCATACTTTTTCCGTTATTTGACTTTGAAACTCTCAAATTTAGCGTTTGACGAAGAAGAGCTTACTTTTAAGAAGCCGTAGCTCGGTTCCTATTGGTCATACAGAAATTTATGAAACAAACATTTTCTTTGTTTTTGTAAAAACTACAATTTTGCTCTCTACACTTTTTTTGACAAAATGCATCGTTTTTTAGTTAGCTGCGAATAACCGATTCAAAATGGTCATTTTTTCTGTGAAAAACTGATACTTTCGGTCCCTACTAACTCGAAAAGTATTAATTTTACAAAAAAAATGTATAGAACACTTTTTGCTTAGAATTAGTTTTTCTATCGATTCCTGTGGTAAAAATGTAATAAAAAATTTCCACCCCCGAGATGGGGTGACAATCACCCCCGGGGTGAAAGCGCCCTACGGCATAATATAGATTTTGATCCTTAGGCTATTCCCTACCTACTGTGAAAATTTCAAGTTAATCGATGCACTGTCAAAAAATTGCCAGGTCAAAACGTACGACTCCTGTACTAATTTAGAAATGCTTTACTCTTGACATGCAGTGCCGCGCTCGGATTAAAAAATTGCTTAAACGTATTTAGAAAGGCCGATAGTGTCACTAAAACTTATCAGGGACAGCATAATTCTTCGAATACAAAAAGAACGGCGAAATAAAAATTAATTATTTTGAAATTTAAGGTGTTAGTTTTATCATTAAGAATTTATTTAAAAATATTTAATGGCCGGAACTATTGTTATAATCGATCAGAAGCTGTAGAACTCTTCAAGAACTATAAGATTCCGTCATAAAAATCGACCTTCTCGAATCTTGCGGTGCCACAAGAAGTTAGCACCATATATTTTTATTTTTTAAAATTTTTGGTTAAATAAACAGAACTATTAATGAAATCTATCAGGAACTATAGAACTATTGCGGGTACTAGCAGAATGGTTATTAAAATTTCCGAAGTTGAAGCGCTAACTTCACAGAGACGATATCAAGGGGATGGCCGCATTAGACGATGCCACGCTATCTTGAGATTTTGTACCAGGATTCATTACGTTTACGTAGTTAGCACGCATACTCCTACCCTTTGGCAATTGAACATATTGCTACCAGAAGGCAATTTCGAAATATCCGCTGATGTATCCTCGTTGTATGCACTCGGTAAAGACTAGAGACCCTATACCAGAGTCTGGACACGAGCGCGATTGTGGCAAAATGCTACGAGAGAGAAAGATATATATATACAGATTATATACCATATATATATATATATATTATAATATATAATACACTTACAAATTAAAAATCTTGAATATATTTTTCATTTATTTTTTTGATTCACGATACAAAAAAATATTTCAGATGAAACATGGAACCGTTTCAAGGGAGACATATAATATTTTATGTATATATGGTTTATGTACCAGCTAGTATGTGCGATGATTAGTTTCATACGAAAGCTGTAGATCAGTTTTATCAGTGTATAGACAGAAATGTTAGCATTTGTTAATATTTCTATTTAATGTGCGCCATATGAAATCTTACATCTTTTGTATGAAACATTTGTTCTCAAAATGCTTTCTTTTCCTGATATTTGACGCAGAGTTTCTGGATTTTTTGACTATCTGCGACACAGTGATTTTCTCATCCTTGTTTAACATGGTGAACAACAAGGACATACTGATACACTGTGTCACACCGTGTCATATGTGTGTCGCTTGTTGGAAGGCACCCAGTGTATGTCCCTCGTAAAAAAGTACTACTAGTGTCACTGTTAGTGCTGTGTAGTATCACTACTGTAAATACAGTAGTCCCTCGTAAAAAAGTACTACTAGTGTCACTGTTGGTACGAGTAGTAATCAGTAGTAACACTGCTCGTGACTAGTAGTGTAGAAGTGCAGTGTTAAATTTACTACTAGTGGTACTAATAGTATCACTACTGGGAGTAGTGCAATTTACAGTAATCGCATTCCCGTACTTGCGGAAATTATTTTAATACAAATTTGAATTAAAAAATCGGTTTTAATCAATTATTTTAATCATTTCGTATTTTTAATCAAAATTTTTTTATATCTTATTTTTTTTGCGAATTTACCTGCATATTGCACTAATAGTGACACTAGTAGTACTTTTTTACGAGGGCTGTAGATTGCACTACTCTCAGTAGTGATACTATTAGTGCCACTAGTAGTAAATTTAATACTGCACTTCTACACTACTAGTCACGAGCAGTGTTACTACTGATTACTACTCGTACCAACAGTGACACTAGTAGTACTTTTTTACGAGGGAAGTGCAGTATTAAATTTACTACTAGTGGCACTAATAGTATCACTACTGAGAGTAGTGCAATCTACAGTAATCGCATTCCCGCACTTGCGGAAATTATTTTAATATACAAATTTGAATTAAAAAATCGGTTTTAATCAATTATTTTAATCATTTCGTATTTTTAATCAAAATTTTTTTATATCTTATTTTTTTTGCGAATTTACCTGCATATTGCACTAATAGTGACACTAGTAGTACTTTTTTACGAGGGGTATCACTGTTGGTACGAGTAGTAATCAGTAGTAACACTGCTCGTAACTAGTAGTATAGAAGTGCAGTATTAAATTCGCATTAGTGGCACTAGTAGTACCACTACTGGGATCAGCAGTGACACTACTAGTACAGTAGTGCAATCTGCAATAGTGCAGAAGTGAGCACTAGCTTCTAAAACGAGCAGTGTCACTATTAGTGCAGTAATGCAGTATAATACATTTCTGCACTTGCGGAAATGATTTTAATACAAATTTGAATAAAGAAATCGATTTTAATCAATTATTTGTTATTATTTCCCGAGTAAAAATTGTTTGTATACATATAACCATACATAAACATATATAACTATATATAACTTATATATAATTATATACAATTATATATGACTTGATACATGTTCACATATAATTTGTAGATTAAACGAACTTAGTGAAGTTCGATCTTAATTATGCCTTGTCTCATCCGGATGGACACTATGTAGTCACGTCTTCGTGCTCGCATTATCAACAGTGTTCGCAGAACCCTTAACTCTAAAAAACTTGCGGCGCTCGCCGTGTCGGTGGCGCTCTACGTGCCGACGCCGCCGAACGCGCCGCTCCCGTCTTCATTATTTCAAAGGCCCAGAGCAAATCACTTCCTGGGAGGGAAGAAGCGCGTATGAGCTTGGGGTACGGGCGGTCCATCCGGATGAGACAAGGCATAATTAAGATCGAACTTCACTAAGTTCGTTTAATCTACAAATTATGCCTCTGTCTCATCCGGATGGACACTATGTAGTTGTTTACAGCCTGATTTGCTCACACAACTAATCTAATCGCGAATAACAGTATTCTGACGAACGCCAATATAACTAGCTGCGCGCTAATGAGTAACATAGCTACTATAGGATACATGAGAAAATGATATTAGTTAACATGAAAATTCTTATTCAATGCTAATTTTAAGATATTAAGGGCTGCTTAAAACTGGTGTCTAGCACGTCTAGACCTCCGAGAATATTTCTTATTTATGATAATAGGACGGAGTCACTAAAAGCCTCTGGATTGACAATTGAGCGGTTATAAAACCTCGCAAAAATCTGGGAGTCTCCCGACCACCCGGCTGCTCGCTTGATGAGATCAAGTGAAAGGCCCTTTTTGGCCGCGAGGGAAGTGGAAGCATGGCGGGTGCTGTGAGCCGAAAAAAGGTCCGCTCGCACCCCGCACTCCTCCAATCCCTTGCGAATCCATCGACTTATTGATTGGGTTCCTACTGGCCTGTGAGGCTTCATAAATGAAATAAACAAAGAATCGCATCCGGGTGGACGAAGATCCTTAGTGCGCTGTAGGTAATGTTTTAAAATATTACTAATGCATAAGTCTGGACGATCGGAAAAATAAGAGAAGGTAAGTAATGGTTGGGCTCGACCCGGAGCGGACGTTTTCAAGCGATCCGGGATCTTAATAATTAGCTTGTCTTGGTCAAACAAAATTTGTGAAATTCTTATGGTCGTTAGAGTCTGCGTACGTTGACCCGAGCCTAGCGCTAGGAGGAGGACTAATTTCCTCGTGACAATCTCTAATGACAATGACTCGTGAGGATAAAGTTTAGCCAACTTGGAGATAACTGGGGCTGGATCCCAGATGAAATCGTAACGTGGTTTTTGCGGTTTAATAATACTGATACCCTTACCAAAACGCCTTACTAAAGGATGATTGCCTATAGCATTGACTGTGATAAGTGAAACCGCTGAGCGGGTTGTATTGAACGATGAGTAAGATCCAGTGTTTCCTGTTTCTTGAGATAAAAATTCTAGAAACTCGTCGACCTTGGGGGAGAAAGGTATCGCCTGATGCTTCTGACAAAAATCCCACCAGATCCTGAGTGGACGAGCGTATTGTTTAATCGTGGCCGGAGAAAGTGAAGCGATCATGGTGTCTACAGCCGATGGCGGTACCGATTGCCATAAGAACGCTTGCCTGATAATCTCCCTGCTACCAGGGAAAGGTTTTTCCACTCTGGATGGTGTGGTCTGAAAGGAGAAGATAAGAGCGTCTGAGAGGGAGCAAAAGATATTAGCTCTGAAATTAAGAGACGACGAAACAAGGGGAACCAAGATTGAGTTGGCCACCAGGGAACCACCAGGACTCCCGTAGCCTCGTCGTCCCACAATTTGCGTAAAATTCTAGGAAGTAGGATGAATGGAGGGAAGGCATAAAAATACCAAGAATACCAATTCAGGGTGAAGGCGTCGATCGCCCAAGCCCCCGGGTCGGGAAACCAGGAGATATAGGTCTCGACCTTGGCATTGATTAATGAGGCGAAGAGATCTATATCGAAGGGACCGAATACGTCCCTGATTCGGTTGAATGCCCAACTAGATAAGGACCATTCCGTGTCGCTTCTCGTGATGCGTGATTCTCTATCCGCAATCACATTGTCGATGGAAGCGATGTAGGAGGCAAAAAGATGGATGTTTCGTTTTTCGCACCACTTCCAAACGTTTCTGGCGATCTCCGTCAAGAGGGGATGTTGGACCGAGCCAAATTTATTTATGTAAGCGATGGCTGTAGTATTATCAATCCGAAGGAGAATGTTAGAGCCTCTGTAGTCTCTGGCGAAACATCTTAAAGCGAAAAAAGCCGCTTTAAGCTCTAATACATTGATATGATGAGTCATATCCTCAGATGACCACCAGCCATGAGTACGCTGGTTACCACAGGCAGCTCCCCAACCTGTCCTGGATGCATCTGAATAAATCTCACAAGCAAAAGGCTTCGAACGTATAGGGTTGATCTGATTTGTATCAGAAAAAATTCTTAGCCACCAGTCAAAATCTTCCTGCAAATAAGATGGAATTAGCATACGACTAGAATAATCGCCCCGCGAGGCGCGTAACGCTAAGAATAATTCTCTCTCAAAACGTCTGGTGTACAGGGGACTATATTGCACTGCCGGAAAAATTGATACTAAAGATCCGATCATACTTGCGAAGTCTTGTATGGTACAGTGAGATCTTCTAGATAGCCTCTGAATTAGGGAGAAGAGGTTCTCTCTCCTAGCGGGTGGAATGGATACCGCTTGTTGTTCCGAGTCAAATATAAATCCTAAATATTTACATCTCGATGATGGTGTTAGCTGAGACTTGGTATAATTGATGAGAAAACCTAAAGATAAAAGTAACTTAAGCGAGGCCTGAATATTTCTATTACACTCCTCCTCCGAGGCGCCTAATAACAGAAAATCGTCTAAATAAACAACAGACTGAAAACCCTTCGCACGCAGCGATCTAAAGACCGGGCGTAGGATCTTCGTAAAAATATACGGTGCAACCGAAAGGCCGAAGGGAAGGGATGTGAACTCGTACACCTGACCTCTCCATTGAAAACGTAAAAATCTTCGACATGAATGATGAATAGATATTAACAGATAAGCATCCTCGAGATCAATAGAGGCCATCTTAAAATTCGGAAGCATGAGCCGAATTACCGCCCGCCAGTCCTCGAGTTTAAAATGTGGAGGGGTAATGTACGAGTTCAAATCTCGAAGATTCAAAATGAATCGCATACCGCCTGAGGATTTTTTAATTAGGAAAAAGGAGGAGAGAAATTGATCCTCGGATGGTGTGACCCTGGTTATAGCTTCCTTCTGAAGCAGACGTAAGATTTCCGTATCACAAAGAACTGCCTCCGACATTGAGAGGTTAGGTTCCTTTAAGAAGGGGCGAGGGGGAGGAGTTACGACAAAGGGGATAACGAAACCCTCCACAGCCCCTAGGATCACTGCATCCGAGGTTAAATCCCTCCACCTATCCAAGAACGAGGTCAAGCGGCCCGCTGAGCTTACTTGAGTTAACGGCGGGTGCGAGATCTGGACCGCGATCTCCGTCCGCGTCTCGTCTGTGGAGAGCCCCTCCTCTGTCGGTAGGTAGATGTCCGGCGAGGAGGGGCCTTCGCGTTTTTTGCAGCCTGTTGCGCAATGCGAAGCGGTTGGTTTCTCTGCTGTTTCTGCTGGTGCTGTGTTGTGGGTTGAAATTTCCGAGTGGGCTGTTGTTTCTTTTTGGCCATCTTATTGGCCACTTTCTCGATTATTTGGGCGGCATTTACTTCCTCCGAGAAGTTGTTACCAAATAGGAACTCGTCAAAGGTAGCCGAGTCTGATGCAGTCTTCCCCAGCAGGTTTAAAGAGGGGATTATAAAGGCTCGTCTGGATTTTGACAAACCAAAATGATGGTCGGCCAATAAGCGAATGCCCTCGGCGATCTTAGAGATGGCTGACCTGCCCTCTGGAGATGCCTGAAGAAGCTCAGGGCTAACGAGGTCGGAAAAACCAGAGGCCAAAGCATTCAGCGAGGCTCCTACTTCTAACTGCGATTGACTCTGATATTTGTCCCGTGTAATGGATGTTGCGCTAAGGTTAGGTAAAACCTCTTTATTTATCCTCGGTGGCGCTAAGAAAGCAATCTCGTTTTTCGGCTCGTACCTGACAAGCAAGGATTTCTTAATATCTTCGTTCAAGCCTGCGCGAACGATAGCCTTAATTGCGTTTAGCATGACTGGAAGCCATGTTGGTGCAGCTGACGACTGCGCCTGGGACCCGAACAGCTCGCCGATAAATGCATCCGAGGACTCTCCGCGCGGCTTCTCCTCGACGATCGAAGGAGAGCCAGAAGGCTCTACAGACTCATGCTCGATAACCATAAGATTACTCACCTCGTCGGTGCCAGAAAATGAGTCTGAAAAAGAAGAAAATCAGTGCAGGGAGAAACAATCGGATATGTCTCCTCTTTGCCGGGAAAAACCATCGGGTCAACAAGGAGACACACCTGGTACACCGCCCCGATCCTGTGCATGGATCGTCTGTTCTCCTGCCTGATTTATAATCGCATCCTCGACAGATACTTCTGACGAGGGAGGGGGGTCCTCGAAAGGAATCTGCCCCGCCGGTGACATGCGCTGTTCCGAATCCCTCGACGATGGGATGCTACGCCGTCTCATGAAGCCAACAAATTCCGCGAAAATATGCAAGAGATCCTCGTGGGAAGATGAGCGATGCATCCGCGATCGTCTAGATCTCTTGCTGAGCGGACTGTCGGAACGGTTAGAACGAGAGCGAGATCTCTTACCATGAGAATGTTTACGGGTTTTGTGCCGTCTCTGCTCTCCTCTATCGCTCAGCGAGCGATAATCCTCGTAATTCTTCATAATAATGCTGAAAAACCCACTGATGGGATGTAATATCAACACGTGGAACGAATCTGTTGATTGCGCGAGAACAGAAAACATAATGAAGACGGGAGCGGCGCGTTCGGCGGCGTCGGCACGTAGAGCGCCACCGACACGGCGAGCGCCGCAAGTTTTTTAGAGTTAGGGGTTCTGCGAACACTGTTGATAATGCGAGCACGAAGACGTGACTACATAGTGTCCATCCGGATGAGACAGAGGCATAATCATATATGGTTCGATACATGGTCATATATGAGTTCATATACGATCATATATAATTTATACATGAACATTTAATATTTCTATTGAACAGATATATCACAATTATACAGATATTAACATATCTATTGCTCGTAATTTCCTTATTTGACTACTCAAACTCGATCTACATCCCGGCTCTGTCTCAAAAACTGCTCACTCGTGTTCAGCGCATTCAGAATACATGTCTTCGTTTTTCGTTCAACGTTCGCAAATATGACCACATCTCTCCTTACTTCTCGCGCTCAGGTTGGCTAAATATTCGTCAGCGTTTCATTCTCCATCTGTGCTGTCTTGTATTTCGTCTTCTGCATTCTGGTGTTCCTCGATACCTCCGAAATCTATTATATTTTAACTCCGATCTCCATGCAAATAACACTCCCGACACTCGTCATCAAGATTCCTTATCTTATCTCAGACATCGTACCTCTAAATTTAAGGCTGCATTCTCCTATACCGCTACAAAATTCTACAATGCTATGCCATCTTTTATCCGATTATCCCCTTCACTTCCTTCCTTCCGATCACGTGCTTTAGAATACATATCGACTTTGTAATACTAATAACGCTGTATGCATTTCAATAAGTAGTTACATATGTTCATACACGTTCTCTCCGTGTTTTCGTCTTTGTTCATTTTATTTGTGTTTCGAATTCTAATATGTTCCTCTCCGCCAATATTGCGTGCATTACTGTTTAAAATTTTGTAATATCATAATGTTAAACAAATCAATTAAAGAAGACTCTCGAGAGATTCAAATAACAAGAATAGACAGGCTAATAGAGAGTCCTTTCAGCTGTTATTGGTGCGATATATAAGATATGTTAAAATGTGAATATTATATACTACGTAAGTAGTTACCCCCCCATTGCGCGCCGAACGTTCGTCGAACTTAAAACGCAACTCTAATCAACTACCGTAGTAATATCACAATTATTTTTTTT